GACATACTCTATCTGATACCTGCGATTTGTCTGATCATTGCCTGTTTTTCACACATTGAAAGCTCAAGTCAAATGTTTAGAAAGCAGTCAGAGTTTTATGCTAGTATTGTAAAAATTGCTATAGTCAGTTGAAGTTTCATAGTGGGGATGATAAAGAATCAAATGAGCTGATAAGAGATTTTATACTTACGATGACCCAACCTGCCTTGTCCAATTTCATTTGACCCTTTTTAGCTGACTTAGTGACTCAACCTCTTGAGAGTGACAATACGAAATGTCATCCTTAAAGTTGAATGGCAGCATGAGTATAAAATTTGGCAATATGACTGCCGAATATTCCAAGTTTGCACTGCACCCAGACGTTAGAGTGGATAACCTCTCCTTTTCCGGAAATTATCATCGGTCATCTTTGTATGTTCCGTATATCTTCACTTCGAGTCATGATTACAGCAACATTATAAAATTGAACACTGCCCAAGTCAAGGCTAACCGCATGAATGCAGAATGTGAGAACGAGTGGTCTCATTGGGTAAGTGTAGTAAAATGGTTGTAAAGGTTATCGCATCAATGGATTGTTGTACGTCTTTTGTGGCGTGATAGTGTCATCGTGATATTCACAGATAACGACCTTCTGCCCTCTTCTCGTCTGGTTGTTCTGAAGTAAAGTGAGGAGAATTCCTTGCTGAATTTAATTATCAGTCAACGAGAGATTTTTGCTTTGCTTTTTCGGCTTCAACCGGCATCTCTAAAATACGTAAGAAACTGTTAACACATTGAGCTGTTCACTGTTCCAATCTTAATCCCATCTAGCTTTTACGCATATCATTTCAAGCAACTCTCAAATATCGATCCATAATTAAACCTGCTGAATATGTTAACTAGGTTCAAGTTTACCTGATTTCATTTACTGTTATTTTATTTTAAACATTTTTTCTTGGCTGTTTCGCTTTGTTTGGCATTGAAAGTATGTATTCGATTCGGATATTCAAGTAAGTTTAATCAAAATAGCTTATGCTACTGTCTTAGGTCGTGACTTATACCCGGGTAAAGAAGGAGGAACATGGCTTGGGATGAACGAATCAGGAAAAATTGCGGTATTGATGAATTTCTTGGAAGATCATTCTTCGTCGGTCCCTTCAAAGAATGGACGAGGTTGTTTGCTTCAGAAACAGCGATTTATATTTCTTAACAATTTTATCTTGCAGGTTTTTTTGTCATCAATTACCTCAGTGGTGCTGATGACGAAAAATTTTTTAAGGATGTGTTGGGTACCAAAGATTCATTTCAAGGATTTTCACTGCTGTTGATCAGAAAGTTGCTTGAAAGTTTTGAGAGTGAATTTGATTTACATCGAATTACTTCAGGTATAAATCATCCGGTAAATGGAATATAAAATACCTTTGTAATCGAACCGACAACGGGGTCGAAGACTTGAAAGCCGGTAGCGTTCAAATCGGCCAAAATATTAATGGTTTATGATCTTTGGTGCTTTTTCAAATAGGATTCTACGGTTTTGGGAACAGCTACAAAAATCGGCCATTCAAAAAGGTACAGGCAGCAACTGAGGCTTTCCGAGCGGTTGTGGGTAACAGCGCACAGTTAAACGCTGACAAGCTAACCTGCGAATTATTGACAGTACTGAAAAATCCAAAGATGTCCGTTTATACCTTTCATCTTGCTTGATATTCGGTCGTTAACTCAGTATATC